TTTCCTTTTCTTTGTGCACGATAACGAAACCAAAAAAAAAAAAAAAGAAATGAGTCAAACCTGAAGCTCTGGACCAGCTGGACGGGCCACTCGACTCGTGCTGCTCCAGTTCTGCGAGAGTGGAGTCCAAAAACGAGTTTTTCGGCACTTGCCTAGCCGGGTTAACAACTCCGAGTTGAGTTAGGCCTAGTTTTATTTTTTTTTTAGATTTTTGTTGCTGTTATATAGCCAAACTCTCGACGAGTGCAACTTGGATTTAGAGTTGTTGGCTTCGTATACGTTTTTACGAGCGTGCAACAACATTTTATGGCTCTTACAGACAAATTGTTTGGCAGGAATTACAAATAGCTGCAGCTGAGACTAACAGTTAGCTCAAATTGGTTCTCAAATGGATAAGCTTAGAGCCGCTAAAACAGAAATAACGCCAGAGATATAATCTATGTCAAGTGGACTATAAAAAGTTGGCGTGCTAAGAGTGGAAACAGTGAGACTTTGAGATGTTCTGAAGCTGAAAGTGCTTAAGAAAATAATTTTATTTTAGAGTTCTTTTCCAGTAGGTCTTTCGAAATTGTTAAAAATATGATGTTAATATGGGAAGTTGAATTTTAATACTTTTTTTAGATATTCCATTTTTGGGAATTAAAAAAATATAATAATATTATAACTATATATATTATAACATTAGATAATACAAACTTCCCATTTGGGATATTTTTTTACATTTTATGAGACAAAAATATTTTCCAGCTATATAATCAAAATTTCAAGTCTCTGAAGGACTTACGAACCGACGGACAGCAATACGGAGACTGCATTTCATTTCCTGAATGAGCAAACCCAAAAACATTTCAAACTTTTAACTCTCATATAAATTCTCCTCACAACTTTGATGTTTCAAAATGAGTTTGAGGATGTAAAACTTTGTGATGAATCGCTTTCCGTATTTATGTGAATTAAATTTATTGTTTATTGTTTATTTATTGTTATGCAAACGCTGTTGATTTTTGTGATTAAGCAAACGCAGATTGTTTTAGGCCTTTAATTGAATTATTGTGTTTTCTGTCTTCGTCACGCAATGAAATTTTAACAAATTTTCGTTTCAAGCTGTGTTTGTCTTGGCGAAAGTTTGTTGTTTGTTGTGTGAGTGTGACAAACGTGTTGCAAATCGCTGTCGAGTGACACAAACGACGAGCCTCTCCCTGCACTGCCTCGCCCATCGAACCTTGGGCGCATCGTGTGGCATTAGAACCTGAGCGAGGAGGGCACGCGAGCGAGTGCAAAAAAAAATCCCTCAGCGCGACGGAGCGGCTCCAGTTCTAGTTATGCAGCTATATGTCTCGGCTTTCATGACTAATTACTTGACGTGGGGGCAGAACGGATTCGAGGTCGGGATCGGGGTCGTGGTCGGTGGGTAAGTTGATAAGGTTAAGCGCTCGCGTCCCTGCACATTGAATGCCGAGGATTATAATTTTTAATATTTCTCTTTTGCGCAAACATTTGAGCAGCTGTACATGCGGGTGGTCAGAGCGTGGGCGGCGGGGCGTGGCCGGTTGGGTAAAGGTCTTGCTGTTGTCTATGGCCATCGTGTGTACCGTGTGTATTGGGTAAACTTTGGCTCAATTTGTTGCGACCCTAATGAAGTTATGGCTCGTGAGGGTCCCCTGTGGAGTTCGGTGGAGCTGTCGATGGAGCTGACGGAAGCCCCAAAATGGCTGGGGCTGTGTGTGTGCTTGGCTGCCGTTATTTGGTTTCATGCATAAAATAACGGCACATAAGTGCAAGTTGCAAGCTGCAAGCTGCATGTAGCGTGTGGCATGTGGCATGTGGCATGTGGCAGGCGGCAGCTTTAATGAAAATTGCAAGCCGGCCCAGCCGCTGCCTCCTCTTGTCCCGCGTCCTGGCGAGCATTAAATCCAATTTTGCGCTGCTAGTTTTTTGAGTGGCAATGCATACACACATACACACACACACACACACACACACACACACACACAGTTTTGTTGGCACACTCGACGCCATTTGTGTACATTTTAATAGGTGTGAAAGCTTCAGGTTTATAATGTTATGCCTCGCTTGCAAGTGTCGCCTGGCAAGCTGTTGCATAAATCAACTTTGGCAGCGCGCAGTAGGAAGGAGGTGCCGATGGGTGTGGCGTGGCGTGGGGTTAAGGGGGGTGTGGCGAGGGCGAGGTCCGAGGTGCCACAAAACTATGTCAAGTGCCCGCCCGCACTGAACAGCATTCAGCGTTCGCTCAGTGCCCCATCATGCATGCTCTATAAAATATTTGTTGAAACTTGCGCCAAGCCCTCGCCCTCCTCCTCCCCCACCACCGCCACCGCCGCCGGCTTTGCCCATCTGCCCAAACTGATGCTTCGGGCGTTGATAAGCGCACTTTGAGTTGCGCCACTTGAGGCCGCACGCAACGTGTAATCACAAAATACGTAGCGAGTAGAGTTTAATGTTGTTCAAGTGCTTAGCAGCTACGACTACCCATCGTTAAGCGACCCACACTCTGCCCCCCGCCCGCCCACTTGTCCGTTTGCTTTATTAGCCTAGTGCTGCAGCACGAAACGAAAATGTGTTTCTGCCTCTGCGTTCTATGTTAAAAATCGTGTTTATGTCTGGCAGCTTCTGATTGTAGTTGCAGCTGTTGTTATGCCTTGTTATACCTTGAGAAGGTGCCGAAGGAAGCAAGGGTGTACAGCGGATGTAGATACGGCAGAGTATGCCGATAAGCGCAGGGTTATTATATATAGAGTGAAAATATTGGAAATGAATTTCAATTGAATTTTAGAGATAAACAAGGCTTTATATGTGTTTAGATATTTTTTATATAATTTTATTTTATTTAAGAAATAAAACTTAGAGAGTTTCACTTCGCTCTGTTAGCTTCAATTAAACTTTTTAAATAAATAAAAATATATTCATTAAATATTCGATATCATTAGCATGTTTTCCAGAAAAGTATTTCCAGCAGAATATTCCTCTATTCTCCCACACTTTTCTAGTTAGGGTATTTCTCCATCGAGCACTCCTTTATATTTATAGCATTTCTAGTTGATGTGACTGCTGTTGCTGCTCGTCAACAAGCTGACAATTTGCTGTCTGAGTGTTGGCTGTCGCCTGTTGTCGACAGCAGCAGCAGCAACAATAATAATAATAACAACAGCAACACGCGACAACAGCAATAAAAGTGCTAAAAAGTTTTATGCCCCTGGACTGCATCCTGTTTTAAGAAGCAGCAGCAGCAGCAGCAGAAGGAGTAGCAGCAGCAGCAGTTGCTGCCACAGTCCATAGTCCATGCTCCTAGCTAGCAGTCTACACTGCCGAGAAAAATGTTTAATCTTAATGAATGTTGTTGTCGTAGTTGTTGTTGTTATTATTGTTACTGCTGTGGTTGTTGTTGCAGTTGTCAAGCTCAAAAATGACGCAACACACCCGCAATTTGGCCAATGTGAATTGGTGCTTGTGGAGAAAGAGTATAAGCTGAGAGTAAGCTTGGAAAAGGCATAGATATCATTTCTGGAATGGGAAGAAAGAAGATTAACATAACATAACATAACAAAACGTATCGTAACATAACATAACATGACAATATAACATAACAGAACGTATCATAACAACATTACATAGCATAATATGACTTAACATAACAACATAACGTATCATAACATAACATTACATAGCTTAATATGACTTAACATAACATAACATATCGTAACACAAATTAACATAATATAACAGACCATAACATAATATAACATAGCTTAACGTAAGTTAACATCATTTCAAATTTAGCCACAAGTAAGCTTCTATTCAATTTAATCTAAGCTTTGCTTACTCTTTTAACTTCTTTGTAGAGCAACTGCAATTCGTTGTTTGAATATTTGTTGCATTGTATTTATATTTTGCTCTGCAGTTGCTTTGCTTATCTTTGGCTTCATTCATAATTTTTGTCGCATACGCGACAGGGGGTTGTTCGTTGGCTTTGCTTTTTACACCTGAGCCTGTGTGTGTTAGCATGCAGGTATCCTTCATGCGGGTGGTTTGGTGAATTGTAAAACTTTGTCGCGTTGTCAAGCTATGTGGCTCTGTTTCTATTTATGCTATGGGCACCAACTCCTGCTGCAATGTCTGCGCTGTCTGCAGACAACCTCAATACCCAACCCGCCCACAGCCGCCTACCCACAGTCTTCACTTTGGCGACGTCACGTATGGAACGGCTGTGTGACTTGCCTGTGTACCCAACTCCCCGAAGTAGTCTGCCCACGCATGCATACATATATATGTATGTATGTATATATATATATTTGTATGGAAATGACATCAGTCGAGCCCTCAATGCCAGCCAGCTGCATTGCGCGCCGTAAGGAAATTAAATACTCAAGTCGGATGTTGCTGAAATTTCCGCTTGGAATGCGGCTTTCGTTGCGTTGCTTTCAACCGCCAGCCGAAAAGTCTAGTTAAATTTACAGAACTCCCCACGGCACGGCCCCGCCCGGCCCGGCCCGTCCCGGCAGTCAACGGAATTTCCTAACTGAAGTTTAGAAAGGAAGAGAACGAGTCGTGAGGGAAGGCTCTCGCATGATTTTGTGTAATTTTCATGTGCTTTTTATGATTGCAAATCTTAGAAAATGTCGCTAGCGATTCGCACAAAATGTCGCGCCTTTGACTTCGATTAGTGAGTCAGGCATTCTGATTGGTAGTTGCTCTGGCTCATTAGAGTTCAGCTTTGTCAGGTGATGAATGCATTCATGTTCTCGACAAATGATTGACAGCTGTTAGCTCTCAGTTCGCTTTGATTATTGTGCATTGTGAGCGAATCGAAAGGGTGTGCATTGGCTTTGAGTAGAGTGAAGGGTAATCAATCGCAAGCTGGGAAAATCTCATGGTGCTATATACTGCAGCTGGCTTTGAATATCCTGAATCCTTTCAGATGCATTCCGCTGTCTTTTTAAGGCGTGTTTATGGTTCATTGGGCACGTTTCTAAATAAGGGAGGGCAGCTTTAAGAACGACTTCCATAAACAAACATCCACTTCAAGTTTTATTCTCTGACAATTTGAACTTTACCCCATTCGAATCAAGATTCTTGCATCTTGCATATTTGGCAATGGGAATTCGCCAGCAAATTGGCAAAACAAACAGCACCTATTCAATTAGCTGCAAGCCCTAATGACATTTGACACAGGCATTCGGCTGCATGCATTCAGCTGCTCCAATTTGCAAACAAATGCAAGCGTGCCACATTTCGGGGCACCCTCTCTAACACTTTTGCCTCAACTGCAGCAGCAGCAGCAGCAGCAGCAGCAACGGCAAATGTCACACGAATGTGGAGCATGTCATATGTATATATATACACACACACACACATACACAGTTTTTTTTTTGTTGCATGCAAATGTGAACGTTGCAGTTGCATGCCTGCTTCTTCTTCTGCTGTTGCACAGGTTGACCACATGCCGAGTAGCTGAGGAGAATTTTCGTCTCCAATAATACGCATTGCCTTCCTTCTTTTGTGTTGATTTAACGAGTGAGATAAACGCCGCAAGCCACTTAACCAATCCGATTCCGATTTGGATTCCAATTCGAATTCCAATTCCCAACTAGAGGCGAGTTAAACGTGTGCGTGTTTGTCTGATAAGAGTTGCCCCGGTTGCCGTTGCTGTTGTTGCTGTTGTTGCTGTTGCTGCTGCAGTTGCTGCTATCAACACACGCAGAAAACAACAAATTCCATTTGGACATTTTTCATTTTCATTTCGGTTTACGAATTTTTTTTTTTTGGGTTTTGGGGTCAGCTAATGACTGCTGCTACATTTTCGAAGTTTGTTTTTGTATTGTTGCTCCCTTCGGTGGAGCGATAAAGCGGTTGCTGCTGCTGCTGGCCATAATTGACGTCGCTTGGCGATAACAGTGCCTCGCCTTAGGGACAGTTGTGCTTGCATTTATCATTATGCGGAGGAAAGGGGCGCGGGGGCTGGGGGCAGCCGGCACACGTGCACATGCTACACGCTTGACCCAATTGAGCGGAGTGGAGCGATGGCATCCACACAAGACAAATGGCTGCCAATGATGCAAACGAAAAACCAAAAACTGAAGCCGAAACCTTTCGACTAATTGCTGCAATCGGCAGACCCACAGCGAGCTGCTGCTGCAAAGCCCCAAACCTTAACCGGATTTTAAAAATAGCTGGACTCTTTAAATAGACCCAAACGGTGGTAGCTTTGGCCTCGCCAATGAGCTCACCCGGCGCGAATACCGAGCCAAGCGAAGCGAAACGAAGCAACCGCAACAGAATCAACAGGATCTACAACAAACGACAACAACAACAGCAACAACAACAGCAACAACAACATCGATGATAACAATAAAAACAAAGCAAAGGCATATAGTAAATAAAGTGTCTATAGTTATGGCATGACATAGCTAACGATACTAAATAAATATCCTCTAGTTATACTCTGTAAATATTAGAAAATGTTTAAGTAGGGCGTATTGAAAGTTGACAAAGCCTATGTACATATGTGATGGATAGGTTAGAGAGTTACATAATCTCAAACATCTTTAAACTCTTTAGGAAAATGAAGTCAGTCTCTGGTAACTGAAGAGTTAGGGATTAACGAGTTATATTATAATAGTTTTATGGTATAATAGTAAAAAAGTATACCAAATGTTATATCAAAATTCAATAGATAACTCGACTTTTTGCTCTTTGTTAGGTAACTTCTCGCACACCTTTGTCACAGTTTATTAACTGTTTGTCCCTTAGCATAAATATTTATTTGGTGATTAGCGTCAAATGAACTGCCAGGGGTCGTCATTCACTTGGTTGTGCAACTGCTTCGAGGGCTTCTGCCTCGATTGCGTGGCGCGTGTGACAGTGACATCAAGCCTTAAATGACTACGTTGCATTGTGTCCTTGTTGCTGTCCTTGTTGTTGTCCTCGTCATGGACAGACGTGGAGTAATATCCACTTCTAGTTCTAGTGTCTCGACTGGCCGCCGTAGGACGTCAAAAAGGACGTGTAAATATTGCCACCTTATAATACACACCCACACTAAGACACACACAGATAGACATTCATATAGCCACACTCCTTTACTCACATCATGCTGGCCCGGTTCTGCGACGTCCTGGCGCCATGTTCCTGGCACACTTGGAGAAATAATGCTATAGAATATGCTGAAAATAAATGAAATAGATAAAAATTGGATAATTAAGTAATGCTATAGAATATGCTGAATATAAATGAAATAGATAAATATTGCAGAATTAAATAAAACATTTATATTTATAGAAATATATGCAGTAGGAACTCGATATGGGTATATACATATATTAATATCTCTATATCTTAGTCAAAATGTTCCTAGCTTGTCATTCTATATGTATATGTATTACTTTGTATTATATCTTGGGCCTTATAATTGAGATTATTTCTTTCAAGATTATTATCTTTCAATTTAACTATCTTTAAGTTTAGCTTTATGACTATCTTAATGATTCCTTAAACTTCATTCCTATCTCCATATCTACAAGCATTTATAAATCTTTTATCTCTTGTATCTTAAATTTGACATTTTGCCTTGGGTGTCTGTATATATTCCTTTCCTTCCTTATATCTTTGAGCTTAGTTTCTATAACTATATTCATATCTATTAGTATCTATATCCCTTTCTGGAATGGTATTTGTGATATTGATTTTCGTCTCTATATCTATCTCTATCTCTATCTCTATCTCTATCTCTATCTCTATCTCTATCTCTATCTCTATC